GGAACACCAATTTAGATTCACAGCAGCTCTATTCATGAGTGCCTATATCTGTGATACAAAAATCGATTTGTCCCGACCCATATCTCCTGCGTCTTGTGTATCTTCCGCTAAAAGTAAGAACTAAGATCCTCACACCCAATGTTTGAATAAGTGTATGTGGGGCGAGGGAGGAGTGGAAACCAAAAGGACAACCATTGCATCTAGGATTGAGGCGTGTGTGTGTGTGTGTGTGTGTGTGTGTGTGTGCATGTATTAAGGAGATAGATAAAAACGGTAGTCGTCGTGATCAGCGTCAACTGTAGAACGATAACGTGACTCATGTCGAGGTCAACTCGGTGCACAACCAACCGGTCGATGACCGTTGTGTACTGTGTTATAATCTCAGGCCCCGAGGGCCATTGACCACAGAACAGAAAGACAGACAGACTGACTGACTGACCTGAACCCAGACTGAATCGACAAAAATCGGTGCGGAGGAAGCGTTGGGTGGGTGGGATTACAGTGATCATTCTCAACGGTGNGCGTGTGCAGGAGAGGTCAGATCATTGAAACAGGACGTTTGAAATGTTATCAAGATTAATCGCGACACAGAGAGTAAAAAGGATAAGTGAAAAAGGTGTATTGTTGGAAATGTGGTATCCTGCGCGCCCTACGGATGTTCCTGAGATGCGCGCTGGGAAAAATGCTTTGAATAATTAAAAAACAGAGATGTGGCGAACAAGCTTGGTTTCAGTGCTTTATCTACTGGCCAATTACAGCACATTATATAACTCGGAAATAACAGAGGGAGACAGTCAACTCAGAGTTTTAGTGTGNATCCCTTGAGGAGTGTGAATATTCGATTGAAGTGTGAGGGCTTATCCTAATATAAACTTCACGTTAGAGATGGAATCTACTCATGGAATGGTGTTTCTTCATATCAACTTGTCACGCCGGGAAGATGGCTCCATTAAACGAAGAATATACAGAAAGAATACGTGGACGGGACAATATATCAATTTTCATCGTTTTGTCCCGTTGCAGCGTAAGCACAACCTAATCCAGTACATCGCCAATCTTGTAAGAAGTATTTGTTCTACCGACACAGTGATTGATGAGTTGGTAACAGTTAAGCTAACGTTCCTACAAAAATGGATAGATACCCAGAGGAACTTGTCGATCGTTGTATGAGAGCTTACATTGCGAAATCAAAGGATCCAACAGCGGAGAAGTAAAAGGTTTACATTTCATTGCCTTTCAAAGGTGACACCCTTGCGAGGACAATGAGCAAACGACTGAGAAATGTAGTAGAAAATAGTTATTTCTCAACAGAATTGCGCACATTCTACTATTCTAAATCAGTTCTCCCACTACCGATGAAGGACAGGCTACCGATAGAGATGACCTCTTTCTGTGTTTACCAGTTTACTTGCTCATGTGGTGCAAGTTACGTGGGTCGCACCACCAGACGCCTGGCCGATCGGATGAGAGAACACCACCCAGCTTGTCTTAGTCGGGTGTGAGTGCGGTTGCCATACATCTGGCCGAGACGAATCACACCGCCGATGTGCTGGAATCGTTCCGTCCGATCTATTTACTGACGGGGATTCGGTCTAAGGATGTGAAAACTCGATTGTTATCTATAGCAGAGGCGATAGCAATTAGAATAAACAAACCCCCATTATGCGCACACAAACAGTTCGTTAAATCCCTTTCCCTCCCATGGCCGTGTATCCGAAGTGCCCCCACCTAACACTTTAGTCGAATGTTCATATTCCGAAAGGGATTATCACCAAACCCTCCCAATCCCTGAACGTCCATTTTACACACTAAAACTCTGAGTTGACTGTCTCCCTCTGTTATTTCCGAGTTATATAATGTGCTAATTGGCCAGTAGATAAAGCACTGAAACCAAGCTTGTTCGCCACATCTCTGTTTTTTAATGAATCTATCGGAATTATTCACTCGCTTTGAATAATCTATTCTTTTCTACACGGAAATATGATCAGGTCTAAAACAGCTAACCTTTATTCAAACTGATCCTTAGAATGGTCATCTGAATGGTAGTGTACGTCTCAAATCGAGCTTGGATAATCCTAATGAGATCCGACTGAAATTACAGAGAGTAAATGAGCTGATGCATGAGCAGCACTAGTTACGACACCCAGTCATATTACCTGATGTCTCCTGTGCTTAATTGAGTTGATCACGAATCCCCCAAGCAAGAAGACCAATGTGATCTATGCAATAGCCAGCTCTGATCCAGACTTTCCCACCCACACAATAAGTCACTTGCCATATTCCACCAACTACCGGTCTCTAAAACTGCGAGTAACTGGAACTGGTCGACTAACCTCAGTAGTGCTTATTCGGTTTTCTCACCAAACTCGAGTACAGTGGCATGGATAGCGGTGTTCGATTGCTGCGGATCTTAACCTCTTATTATGAGCATGTCTTTGCATCACAGTGTAGCACTAGACATATAGGTACATCACGTACTCGACGCTTGATGGACAACCGAATGTCGCGGAGTCATCGAACAATCTGCATGCACGCTGGGACTCAATCCGACCCAAAACACAATGGTGTGTGATAAAGTACGTAGATATACATTTGACTCATAAAACCCGTGACACGACACGAACAAGGAGTTAATACCGATCAATGAGGAAAGGTTTATTGGATTATTTGAGCAAACATTCTTCAAGAAGTACTCTGATGCAACCAGTTCGCTCGATGTAGATCACAGTTCATTATCTAATTGTAGACGACTCAAACTACTCAGCAACATCTTACAGTGAAACGAACTTCGCAGATCGATGGTATGTTCACAATGCAGAGGGGAAGTGGAGTACGCCGGTTTCGAAAAAGGGAAACGAAAATGAACTTCGAAGGTGAGCACAAAAAATGCATAGTCTAACCATGTATACACATTTCTTCAGACCGTCTGACCTGACGAGACGTGACAACGAGAGTACCACTGTTTTCGTTTCCCTACAAGGTTACTCAGTATTTCTCACTAGCACGAATTTTTTGGATCGCAATCTGGAAGAAGGGAGACGCCTGCTCTACTTATTTTCTCGCTTTGCATTTCTTCACGCCTCGTTTCCATTTTCACTTTCAAGTGATCTTCTAAATCGTACAGCGTTACCTACAAATAAAACACCGTGCAGTAGATGAATATTATTTACGAGCGCTATGTCTCCTGACGAAAGAAATCCACTAATCTCGATTGGATGAGACAACGAATTTTCCAATGAAGCATACCTAAAAGCACGCCGTTTTACCTGTGTCAACGGTTAATCGAAAGGTCTCAGTACGGTCGGGGTGAGTGTTTTGAGTTGTTGCTAGTCCCTCTCCCTTCGCAACATTAAACGTCCCACACAGCATCTGATGAGGAAGGCCCACTCACCGCCTTTACGCGGTGGTGGTTCCTCGTCCGAGTCACTGAACCACCGACAGTTCACTTCCGGGAGTTGGTCTCTGATTTCGAACAATCCAAAAAGAGGTGTACGAATCTCTCTTTCACACACACACGTAGTTGTTTTCTATTTCGCCTGTTTGCCGACTTTGGCAATTTGTTTGCAAACGTTTCATCACCAACCGAGATGACATCATCAGTGCTTGAAAAATGGCAGTCTTCTGCTTGTATCCGTTCGTTTATGTGTTCTTCTTCACCGACCACTTTTGTCCCTTGTGTTCGACTCGGTTCGCCGTTAAACTGGTGCGTGTAAGAACGGACCGAAACCGCAATCAGGACGGAGGGACAACCAACTCCCCTACCAACCTCACCTCCACGCACCAGTTTAACGGCAAACCGAGTCGAACACAAGGGACAAAAGTGGTCGGTGAAGAAGAACACATAAACGAACGGATACAAGCAGAAGACTGCCATTTTACAAGCACTGATGATGTCATCTCGGTTGGTGATGAAACGTTTGCAAACAGGCGAAATAGAATTCATTTCACCGGAGCTACGAGAACCGATTTCCAATAATTTGTCAACACCTAGTTGTGGTAGTGATCACCAGCTCGATTGGACAGCGAGGTGCATTGGATTCAGACCTGATCCAAAGAACGTATGAGCCGATAAACCGGGCACCAACCCCCAATAGACTGCGGTTTTCCTACATCACTCTGCAGCCTTGTGGGTTAGGTTTTGGCTAACTAAAGGCTCCAGTTGTGAATTCCCCGAGTACGTTCACGTGCTTTGACTCAGGGGGCATGACAACATTCATCGAACTAGCAAATTACGTAACTATTGTTTTGTTATAAAGATTAATGTACTGCAATTTGTTTGGTACACAATCTAGACTCATAAGCATGTGAAATATAGCGATAATAATAATCTAAAGGAGACCTACACCGTATTTCTGTCACAATAGCCTTATAAGAGATTGCGCTTGAGGGTTGTATTCTAGAAAGGGGATGCATGCAGATGGGACATAAGTACATAATCGTTAACGGCTTTTCTTTCTTGATTCGTAAACGCTGCTGAACAAGGTTGATCTGGCTGCATCGCCTGGAGTGTGGCATTAACTCAATAGAAACCTACGTTCAGAAGACAGCAAAATCTCAAACACTCATAACAGGAATCCAACTAGATGCAGTATGAATTTTTCAAAGGGGAAAAACATTAAATTACGCGAAATGGTTGACCAGGCCCGCCAATTTGCACAGTAGAATCTGAATTCGGGTCAATATAGACGAGGCAAAGAATGGATTTTCAGATACGGAACCACTAAGCATCGAAACCACAGTTCCAACAATGAACTGTATCGATGGCATGTGAGACTGCTCGATTAGGATATTATTGTGTGTGTGTATGTGTGTGTATGAAATAGATAGGCTTATAAACTCTCGATGGAATGGTCAACCGGTTGGCGTCACTGATCGCCGCCTTCGTTTGTGAAAACGTTTCGTTATGCCTTTTGGGCGTATACTGTATCTGGATCAATTCATCATCTATGCACGGCGAGAAGGTATTTTATTGGGGTATGAAGTTCAAATACATCCAGTAGCAAGAACGAGTAGAAAACAAGCATCATGCGATTGCCCACACAGGACCACATTCCGAAATTGATGTTTGAAAACTGACAGCAATGAGACTGGGTTTACCTCGGCATTGCCCGGTTCGAAGAGGTTTGACTACGGCAGATGAAATATTGTTCCAATTCAATCATCCACGCCATTTGCGCCACAAATTCGTCTCAAGGATCATCCATTCATATCGAGTACGATGAAACAGTCACTTGTTTGCGGACAGAGTGTTAGAGGCGACTCGAACTCAGCGATTCAAAAGGTGTAAACTGGAGCTGGATTAAATATCTCTGACTGAGAAACCAGACTTTCACTGCTCCTTCTAGTCACTATTTTCTTTTCTGTGTAGGATGAACTATTCTGTAACCGAGACCAGAAGCGAATGCAGGCAAATGAATTTTACAAACCATCAGGATTACATATGAGAAAGGCTGTTTTCCAAATGGACGAAGCATTCGGCATCCTCTGTTGGAACAACTACTACCCATGCACCTTCTTGCCGCCTGTTTTGGTTGTTGTCCTTAGGCTACCCATTTGAAGGATAGGCGTAGAAAAAGGACAGGAAAAGTTGCAAGTAGAATCCAGAAGGAAATGGAGAATTTCAGTGGGATAAGAGTGCAAAGAAACACCAGTGTTTATAATTCTCAGTCATATTACTCTGCGTCTCTAATCACCGGTTATCAGGACCTTGAGGTCCCCAGCCAGGGAGCCTAACGGGACCTATGTGATCGAGTCCTTCAGTTAAGGTTTTCATACCCTCGTGCGAAGTCTTAGCTTGACCATCATGGCTATTTTCCACCAACTACCTGAAAATATCGACAAATATCGTGCGCCGTATCAACCTATTTGGTAGCATGCATAACAAATGCTCCAACCAACGTAATCTATGGAGGTTGATCATTTTCACCAGTGGATGAGCGAAGTTACCTAAAACTGTGCTCTTCATTTCAGTATTCATTGTCCGGTTGACTCACCAGATTTGTACAATGCTGCATAGATAGCGATGCTCATACACCAACAGTCTATCCTTATCCTGTTTTCTTAATGGTCAAGTTTCTGCGCCGCATGGCAGATCTGCTGCAGCATACACTCGACCCTTAAGAGACAGCCGGATGCCGCGGCGACGCCACAGATGTCTCAAGTTGGAAAATGGCATCCGAGCCTTCTGTATGCATGCCGACAATTCATCCATGATGCCTTCGCCGGGTGAAATGTAGCTGTACAAATAATAAAACTTGTCTATTACTTCCTCAGTTAGAGTGAGGCTGGGTGCTGGACAAACCCAGTATTGTAATAACATTTTACACTTTGAAGGCGCAAAACACATACCGAACATGGCTACGCTGGCACTCAAGCTATCCAGAAAAGCTCGCGACTTACCTGGATCTTCACTTAGCAGTACAATGTCGTCTGCATACTCTATATCAGATAGTCTTCCATCTGAGAGAAAATCGGTGCAACTGTCCTCGCACGAGGAGAAGGCCACCCTGACAGACACCGCTTTCTGTGATGAAGTCAGGGAAGAAAGTGACGGTAGCTCGGATTCGCTTTAGCTACTAGGATGACGAGATCGTAAACTTGAAACAAACCTCTCGGGCACACCTTCCATATGGGGCAGCTCCAAGGTACAGATCGAGGATGACCGTAAATTCGGGACTATGAAAGGAGTCTCTGTTTTTTAATTTAGCGAAAAGTGAAGATGCGGTCGACATAACAACCTCGATCGAATCTAAAGCCAGCCTGATTCTCACGCGTACATCGTCCAGGCCCGGTGGACAATTCACAGAGTATGATGCCAGCGAGAAGTTCTAAACTAATCCCCCCGTGGAGGATGAGAATCTATCATTTCGTGGAAATCGATAAGATGACCGATTGACACTATTCGGCTGGAACTTGTTCCCTCTCCCACATTGAGCCCAGTGGTTTCGTCAATTCCAGGAGCAGGAGTATTACTAGATCATTCCAAACCGATGGGGACATCCCTTCCGGGCCGAAGGCTTTATATACCTTTATTTTTTATGGAGCACTGACACATCAACTGTCCACGTTTGCCCAACTGAAGGAGGTCTAGTGTCGATGGGATCAGTTGAAGGGTGCCTCAAAATTTTCCAGACCATTGGTCAAGACGAGGTTGTTGAATCAGTGTGCCGTCGGACTCCTCATTTACTTTAATTACGCCCAGTTTCCTTGAGCTCGAATTCCTAATTAAACGGAAAAGTTTGTCGTTATCGATAATCGCAGCCTTTTCCATGTGTTTACACCCTCACACCCACCACGTATCGCAGTCATTCGTCAAGCTCTTGATGCGCTGGCGGTTAGGGAAGGAATAGCTCTGCAAGCATCCAGCAGGGCAATCGAAGTCAAGTAGATCCATCGTTTTTGCTTTGATTGAGTGTCAGAATCTGTCGTTCATTTCGATTGGCATTTAGATAACTTCCTTGGTTTACGTTCAGTGTTCACTGAGGCTGATGGCTGAACTGAAGGGCAACGAAGCAAGCTGATACGAGCAAGACGAAACAGCCCACATGATTAGAGAGTGGGATTAATAACTCCTGATACCCGGAGTTCAGCATAAGTGGATTCCGTGGATATGCAAACTGCCGAAGATTTCTCACAAGTCAGCTGTGCACTGCTTCTAAGGTGTTTCAGTGGTGAGCGACACATTTACTCAGTAAAAGATAGCCATATTTTCACACACTGATATTACTTGAATCATTAATATCTACGGGTTATTAGCCTTTGGCGAGACTAGGAGAGCTGAGTAAAAATCATCAACAGAATGTTGGAGTCACCCAAAAAATCTTAACCACATATATAGGTCTTCTGGGCCCACCAACGGCCTACAATGGAATTGCAGTTCTTTAGGGCTATGCATTAAATTAGCCAATCGCTCAATCACAAGCATACTATGTGATAAACCTAAATAATTAGCGTAAGCAGTATGTATTCATGTAGACACACACGAACCTGTCTGGACCGGAGCGCGGGATTGAAGCCAGATCTGTCCCAAACACGTCGTCCTCCACCAAACGATGATCAGCCTCGGTTGTGGTTTGTGATGTGGACGGAACGGAGATATTCACGGAGGCCGAGGCGTTAGCCAATGAGACTGTCGTGCCATGAACCGAAGCCGTAGCTGAGGCGTTCACCTCCAATTTGTAACGTTCAGCAATGAAATTCCCGAAAACCAGTTTTGATGACTTATCCACCTCTTCCGGTGTGGATGGATCCAGTTTGGCATCCACCTGAAGAATGGAACAAAAAGTTTCTGAGTTTATGCATAAAGTCACACTTATTGCCCAAAATAACTATTAATCAATTTCTTGATAGTTGTATTACAGTTAGTTTTGTCCATTCACACAGGTGGACAATATCCAGAAGGAACGGGGGGGAGTGGGGGGGGGGNGAAAATGCTCAGTTGATGATCAACCGTTTACAAATGAGTTACCGAACAGACGAAACTGAGATCAGTCAACTGGAGCTAGGGGAAACAAACGGGATTGCACTTTGTTTCAGATAACGCAGATTGCACCCTATTTCACACTTAAGATGAAAGACCTAGGAAGGAATCTGTGAGTTTGATTTGCAAAGCTGTTGAAATTCGGGTAGTCAGTCCTCACGTTGGATTGGAGAGTCGAATGATTGAAATTCAAATTCCCAGCTTATTGAGAACAAATACATAGTTTTATTTACGAAAACTATTACCTATTTGCAACCAATTGTTGTAAATCATTGAACAATTCAAGTTAATAACGGTTATCCTAGGAAATATTTGGTAACCCAAACTATGCGTGAGAAGAACTTTGCCGGACGAAGAAGCCAAACTGACAGTTACCTATTGCGGACAGACGGTACTTTCCGGGTCGAGCGCATTGCACCCGTGGGATCAAGAGAATTTAACTCTGAAGTGCAAAGGTTCGTTACGTTTAAGACATGAAAACCATCTGGGGCAATGACATTTGGTGTGTGTGTGTGTGAGAGAGAGAGAGAGATACCTGGGTTGCAGATCGTGTAAGCACACTCACATTCATCTTATCGGGGTCCCATTGAACTCACAACTACACTTAGCCTGAGGGTTGCTAATTAGTTCCATGGGATTTACATCCTAACGCTCTACTGAGTACAATGTTCGGTAGTAGTAAAAGTGACTGATTTCCAGAACAATCAATGTTAATGGATCAGACACTCAGTCTCTATTCATCAAGACGGGAAAGAACTCATTCAATTTAGTAGCCTCATACCTCGCCACTGAAACCACTTGCGTTTCAAACGGAAAACTCGTGTCAACTAATAGCCAAAACGAAGTTGACGAATTCGATGTCGCTAGTGGACATACATAATCATCATCATCATCGCACAGCTAAGTGAACTTCCCTGATCGCAACCAAACTCACAACACATACAAGGCAAGGGAGAATAAGTAGGGTTGTGGGAGATTGGGACTATTTTCAGAGATGGGGAAAGTGTACCGCTATGCGGAACACACATAGTTCAAGCATTCTGGACTGATAAGTAGTGACAGAAAGATCGTCCGTTCTCAGTCATATCCTTCAGCATTTCCAAATATCCAGTTACGGAGTTTTTTGGATCCTGACCCGGAAGACGAGAGACACCTACCTCTACATCATAACTCTGTGCACTTCTTCATGTTCCGTCTCCACATCATCCGTTGACCTCCAGTGGTTTCCCTCAGCCTGGAGCGACAAAGGCAAATAAGGTGCGATGCGGTAGGCGACCGTCAGGCTTAAACAAAACGTGTCTTAACAAAAGGAAGCTTACTGAGCTGAATTCGATGTGGTGGGCACTTTCCCTCGACACTCTCATTCCATCCCACCTGGACCAGACTATGTAAGCATCAATTGTCGGAAAACTGCAGACGATTGATATCACCTACTCGTAAAGCGTAAAGCAGAACTGACCGAACGGTCGCGCAGTATACGCAGCCTTTCAA